TTTTTTGAGACAGCATTTCACTCTTGTTGCCCAGGCTGGAGTGCAATGGCATGATCTTGGCTCACTGTAACCTCTACCTTCTGGATTCTAGTGATTCTCCTGCTTTAGCCTCCCAAGTAGCTGGGATTACAGGAGTCCACCACCATGCCTGGCTAATTTTTGTTTGAAATGGAGTCTTGCTCTGTTGTCCAGGCTGCAGTGCAGTAGTGCAATCTCAGCTCACTGCAACCTCTGCCTCCCAGGTTCAAGTGCTTCTCCTACCTCAGCCTTCCAAGTAGCCAGGATTACAGGCACCGGCCATCATGCCTGGCTACTTTTTGTGTTTGTAGAGATGGGGTTACACCATGTTGGCCAGGCTGGTCTCGAACTTCTGACCTCAGGTGATCCCCTGTCTTGGCCTCTCAAAGTGCTGGGATTACAGGCATGAGCCACCATGTCCAGCTGGGTATAGGGTTTCTTTTTGGAGTGATGAAAATGTTCTAAGGTTGGTTGTGGTAATGATTGTACAACTCAGTTATATACTAAACACTGTTGGATTGTACGCTTTAAAGGAGTGAATTTTACAGTTTGTTGTTTTTTGGGACAGGGTCTTGCTCTGTTACCCAGGCTGGAGTGCAGTGGCACAATCATAGCTCAATGCAGCCTCAACCTCCTGGGCTCAAGCTGACCTCTCATGCCAGCCCCCCAAATAGCTGGGACTACAGGCACTCACCATCATGCCTGGCTAATTTTTAATTTTTAAAATTTTTTGTGGAGATGAGGTCTTCTTATGTTGCCTAGGCTGGTCTTGAACTCCTGGTCTCAAGCAATCCTCCCACCCTGGCTGCCCAAAGTGCTGGGATTACAGGTGTGAACCTCTGTGCCTGGCCTTGTATGTATTTGAATTATGTCTCAATAAAGCTGTCTCATACATCTGTGGCTTCATGTGACTGGCAGCATCTTGTCATTCAAATCTCAATTCAATTGTCACTTTCTCAAAGAAAACCACCTTGACCACCAAAAGTAACCAGTATACACACACTCCCAACACCCACATACCCCACATGTACACATTCAAACAGAACTTCAGATCTTAGAGGCGAGAAAGGGCCAGGCGAGGTGGTTTACGCCTGTAATACCAGCACTTTGAGAGGCTAAGGTGGAAGGATTGCTTGGGGCCAAGAGTTTGAGACCAGTCTGGGCAACATAGCAAGACTTCATCTCTACAAAATGAAAAATTTTAAAAATTAAGCATGGTGGCACATGCCTATGGACCTAGCTAGCCAGGAGGCTGAGGCAGGAGCCCAGGAGACAGTACGGTAGTGATCTCTGATCACGCGGCTGCACTCCGGCCTGGGTGACAGAGCAAGACTTTGTCTTTCTAAAAAAATTTCTTTTTAAAGGTGAGAGAAAGGTGTTCCCTAAGACTCTGAGGAAGGAAGATGGGAAGAAGTGGAAAGTGAAGAGTAAGGTTCGGCCTCGTCTGACCTTTACTGCCCTCCTCCTGCCCTCAGAAACGCTGCCATTCTAGTCAGGCATGTTCGCATGTGCCTGTAGTCCCAGCTACTCAGGAGGCTGAGGTAGGAGGATCGCTTGAACCCACGAGTTCCAGGGTACAGTGAGCCATGATTGCACCTCTGTACTCCAGCCTGGGCAACAGAGCGAGACTTCGTCTCAAAAAAGAAAGGAAAGAGAAAGGAAGGAAGGAAGGAAAGAAGGAGGGAAGAAAGGAAAGAAGGGAGGGAGGGAGGGAGGACAGACAGACGGATGGATGGACCTCCCCCTACCCCCACACACCTATTCTGCCTGAATTCTCAGGCAGTGTCTTTTATTTGAACTGCATGCATTTGTAATTAATTACTCCAACTTCTAGTTGTTTGAGGTCAGAGGAAGGAACACAGGATGGGAATGTGTTCAGGAATGGGAAGAGTTACAGAAACCTCAGGGCCTCTGCTCAGACAGGCGGTGGGATGAATCCCACAGATGGGAATAATCAACCATGAGACTTCGAGTGAGTGACTCCTCCCATTGAGGCTCACCTACACAATGGGATGATAGCAGCCACCCTGCCACTGAGGACTGGGCAGCATACGTCAAGTGCCTGGCACACAGCAAGCAAGCACTCAGCACGTGGTGGCAAGTTATCCATTCATAAAACCATAGAGAGTATGTGAAATGCCATTCCGTTTGCAAACATTGCCAACCCTCAGAACATTCCCCGCTGGCCTCCTGGGCAGCTGAGAAGAGTCATAGCATTGCAGGAGGTGTTATGTTTGGAATTATGTCCCTCCAAAAAGATCCTGAAGGGCTAAGGCCTAGGATCCGTGAATGGGATCTTATTTGGAAATGCGATCTTTGCAGATGATATGTTGAGATGAGGTCACGAGAGTGGGCCCTAATCCAATGTGGCTGTGTCTTTACATAAAGGGGAGATGGGACACGGAGACAGACGCGCACAGAGGGCACAAAGAGAAGATGGCCTCCCACACGCCAAAGAGCGCAGGAGGCCACCTGAAGCCGGGAGAGGGTCCTGGAAGAGACCCTCCCTCTCAGCCTCAGAAGGAACCACACCTTGATTTCAGACTTCCAGCACCAAAATAGTGAGATGGTAAGTGTCTGCTGTTTAAGCCAGCCAGGTGGTGTGGCTTTGTTACAGAGGTAGGAGTAAGATCAATCCACTGTCAGAGCTAACTGGGCCTCCCAGGGCCAGCAGGATCCCCCGGGGCCTTGGAGGGGATGGACCAGAGGCCAGTGCCACCCCCCGCCAGCCCCCAGTCACTGCCCAGGCCCATGGCCAGGCCTGGCTGCTCCTCGGCCCCCCACTGCCCCAGCAGGAGGGTACCAGACGCTTCTAGGACAGAAATCTGGGATGCATTTGGAAATCCTGGCAGAGGGGTTTCAAGTTAGGCCCTGTCCTGGTGACTGGGGGAACCGCCATCTGGATCCTGTTTGCTGGCCCCGGGCAGAAGAATCTGAGTGGGATCTGCGGGGAGCCGTCAGGAAAGGGGGCCACTCCTTCTGTGGCTGGGCACAGTCAGCGGTCCTGGGTGGAATCCTGGCCCTGCTACTTGCTGGGTGACCTCAGGCTGCTCATGTCACCTCCCTCTTTTGGCTTTCTTACCTGAAAACTGAGGACAATAGCAGCATGTACCTCAAAATGTCGCTGCCAGGATTTACTAGGATCATGAGAATAGCAGGCTTCTTAATGAACAGGAACTTCAGATTTTTAATTTTTTTTTTGAGATGGAATCTTGCTCTGTTGCCCCGGCTGGAGTGCCCGATCTCGGTTCACTGCAACCTCTGCCTCCCGGGTTCAAGCAATTCTCCTGCCTCAGCCTCCCAAGAAGCTACGACTGCAGGTGCTAACCACCACACCCAGCTAATTTTTGTATTTTTAGTAGAGCCGGGGTTTCACTGTATTGGCCAGGCTGGTTTCGAACTGCTGACCTTGTGATCCACCCGCCTTGGCCTCCCAAATTGCTGGGATTACAGGTGTTG